GAGTCACTTTTCGCTAAAATTGATGGTTTTCCCTGCAAAGTGAAAAAACTGTTTTTCTCACTTATTTGTTTAAATAGAAAAGTTAGCTAATAAAAGTTTTTGACTCACGAGACGAGAGATGTCTTGTATTATGTTCCTTTAGACAATTTTACAATAATTTAGCGGATAGGACTTTTTTCGAGTTTCTCTTTTATTTTCGCTAATTTTCCTAGTGTATTATGTATTATTTATAATTGCTGAAGAAACCTGTAGATGAGTATTTTAATAATAATAGCTTGTAAAGGTAGTAATTTTGTTGAAAATTTGTTGCAATGTCATATGGCCTTAAGGATGAATTGATCTCTGAAATATATTATATAGGTATTTCTTTTTTCTATATGGAAAGTTATAAAGTTAGTGCTGTAATATAGCAAAGCTCTGTTGACGTTATTTTCATTAATGTTACTGGATCTATGTGACTGTTCTTGAAAATAAAGATTATTATTATTATTAATCCTGACCATGACCAAATAATAAAGCATATATACATATATACCGGATGATTCAGTTTGGTATTCGCGGCCCTGTATCTCTTTTATTTAAACAAATAGCTATAAAAAACCCTATATATTTTACCGGTGTGAACTTGGCGCCAATTTCTAGCAGCCAAAATATTCAGCAGCCAGTTTGTTTTCGCGTGAAGTTAGTAGCCAATTTAGCAGCCTTTCTTTTTCATTCCATTTCACCTGGTGAATTGTAATTCCTAGAGACGTACATATAAATATTATTTAACTGCACCATAGTTGCGCCTCTTCTGAGAGGTAGAAACTATTCTCAAACTAAATATTTTAAATACTTTTTTACACCATTCTAGAAAAGTTAAGGGATCGAACTAGGCATAATGTAGTTGCTAAAGGCATACATATAACCACCTAGACTGTATAGAATACTAATTAATTTTTTTCACCAATTTCCAAAAATAGTTAAGCAATGCGACTAGGCGTAAAGTAGTTGCTAAAGACGTACAAATAATCGGCTAGGGTAATATTTACTTAAGCCACTTCTGAGGGGTAGGAATACTAATTAATATTTTTCACCAATTTCCAAAAATAGTTAAGCAATGCGACCAAGCACAAAGTAATTGCTAAAGACGTACAAATAATCGGCTAGAATAGTATTTACTTAGGCCGCTTCTGGGGGGTAGAAATACCCTTGCTTAAGGAATACTAATTAATTTTTTTCACGAATTTTCAAAAATAGTTAAGCAATGCGACCAGGCACAAAGTAATTGTTTAAGATGTACAAATAATCGGCTAGAGTAGTATTTACTTTGGCCACTTCTTAGGGGTAGAAACTACCCCCGCCTAAGGAATACTAATTAATTGTTTTCACTAATTTCCAAAAATTGTTAAGCAATGCGACCAGGCGCAAAATAATTGCTAAAGACGTACAAATAATCGTCCTGGTCGCATTGCTTAACTATTTTTGGAAATTGGTGAAAAAAATTAATTAGTATTCCTTAGGCGGGGGTAGTTTCTACCCCTCAGAAGCGGCCTAAGTAAATACTACTCTAGCCAATTATTTGTACGTCTTTAGCAACTACTTTGCGCCTAGTTACATGGCTTAACTATTTTTGGAACTTACTGAAAAAAGTTAATTATTATTTCTTAGGCGGGGGTGGTTTTACCCCTCTGAAGCAGCCTAAGTAAATACTACTCTAGCCGATTATTTTTACGTCTTTAGCAACTACTTTGCGCCTAGTCTCATTGCTTAACTATTTTTGGAACTTGCTGAAAAAAATTAATTATTGTTTCTTAACGGGGGTATTTCTACCCCTCAGAAGCGGCCTAAGTAAATACTACTCTAGCTGATTATTTGTACGTCTTTAGCAATTACTTTGCACCAAGTCGCATTGCTTAACTATTTTTGGAAATTGGTGAATAAAATTAATTAGTATTCTTTAAGCGGGGGTAGTTTCTACCACTCAGAAGCGGCCTAAGTAAATACTACTCACTACTCTAGCTGATTATTTGTACATCTTTAGCAATTACTTTGCGTCTGGCCGCATTGCTTAACTATTTTTGGAAATTGGTGAAAAAAATTAATTAGTATTCCTTAGGCAGGGGTATTTCTACTCCTCAGAACCGGCCCAAGTAAATATTACTCTAGCCGATTATTTGTACGTCTTTAGCAATTACTTTGCACC